ACTCTTGGCCCCCAGCCAGCTTCGGGAGCCAGAGTCCATTTGTGTTTGTTTTCTTAAAGTCTGCGTCATATGTTAGATACCTGGAATTGCTTATCTGCACAATTCGAGGAATGAAATGCAAATTCATTCATAGAAAGTTGCTTTCTTTATCCATTTTGGGTTGGAATCATAGGAGACAGCGTGTTCTCTTTTTTTTTTTTTTTAAGATTTATTTATTTGAAAAGCAGAGCTGCAGAGAGAGAGGGAGAGATAGAGAAAGAGAAATGTTCTGCATGTTGGTTCACTCCCCAAATTGTCACAACTGCCAGGGGTTGGCCAGAACAAAGCCAAGAACCAGGGGTCTCATCCCCATCTCCTATGTGGGTGCAGGGCCCAATTACTTGGGCATTCTTCTGCTGTTTTCCCAGGCCATTAGCAAGGAGCAGGACTGGAGGTAAAGCAGCCAGGACTTGAAGTGGTGCCCATGTGGGATGTTGGTGTGGCAGGTGGCAGTTAAACCACTGCGCCACCACACGGGCACCTGGAGATGGCATGTTCTAGTTACCCCATTCAGCAGAAAATAACACCAGGCTTCAGAGCATCAGTCAGAGTAGACCCATCGACAAAGAGGAAGAGGATCTTAAAACGAGGAGTGCAAATTTGGTACGTGTGTGGGGGTGGTATGTATGTGTACACCTATACATAGTGCCAGTTCAAATACATTTCTTTTTTTTTTTTTAAAGATTTTATTTATTTTAGTCAGAGTTACAGAAAATGAGAGGGCAAGACAGAGAGAAAGGTCTTGCATCTGCTGGTTCACTCTGTAAATGGCTGCAATAGGCAGAGCTGCACCGAGCCAGGAGCAAGGGGCTACTTCTGGGTCCTCCATGTGGGTGCAGGGGCCTGAGTGCTTGGGCCATCTTCTACTGCTTTCCCAGGCTAAAGCAGAGAGATGGATCAGAAGAGGAGCTGGGACTAGATGCTGGTGCCACAGGATGAGGATTAACTTACTGCGTCACAGTGCCAGCCCCCAGTTCAAAGACATTTTAAAACAAGCACTTTAAAACAATATGGCCGGTGCCACGGCTCACTTGGCTAATCCTCTGCCTGCGGCGCCAGCACCCCGGGTTCTAGTCCCGGTTGGGGCGCCAGACTCTGTCCAGTTGCTCCTCTTCCAGTCCAGCTCTCTGCTGTGGCCCGAGAGGGCAGTGGAGGATGGCCCAAATGCTTGGGCCCTGCACCCTCATGGGAGACCAGAAGAAGCACCTGGCTCCTGGCTTCAGATCGGCGGGTCCGGCCATAGCGGCCATTTGGGGTGTGAACCAGAGGAAGGAAGACCTTTCTCTCTCTCTCTCTCAGTAACTCTGCCTGTCAAAAAAAAAAAAAAAAAAAAGTTAAATCCTTTAAAAAAAAAGAAAAACAATATAAGAACTTTATATTTTGTAGTCATTTCTTTCTTTTTTTTAAAGGAGATATTTATTTATTTGAAAGGCAGAAATAGAGAGGTATAATCTTTCCTCTGTTTCAACCCCCAAAAGGCTATGACAGCCAGAGCTGAGCCTATCTGAAGCCAGGAGCTTCTTCTGGCTCTCCCACATGGATGCAGCAGCCCAAGGGCTTGAGGCATCCTCTGCTGCTTTCCCAGGTAAATTAGCAGGGAGCTGGATTGCAAGTGGAGCAGCCTGGACTGGAACAGGTTCCCATATGGGATGCCAGCACTGCAGGCTGAAACTTAACCTTTCACGCCACAGTGTCTGCCCCTTGTAGTCATTTCTTTAGAATGGCTCAGTTATTTTTCTAGGGAATAATGTGGGAGCCTTAGAAATGAAGAATGATACAACTTTTAACAGGAAATGAAATGGAGTTGTAATGACAGAGTGAACAGTGACAAATGTCTATCAGACAGGTATTTAATCAGGTAGAAAAAGTTACAGAATAGAGTATGGATTTGGAAAAAAGCTTATTATGAGGCAACAATTAGAATACAAAGCATAAACTCCATTGTTTCACTGTAGTGTGGAATCGGAAATTTACCCGTTCATTTTGTAAACTATGTACAGATGTTATGTTTCAGGTAATTCTTCGGAACATCTGTTTCAAGGGAATGCTTTTTAAGTGAGACCATATTTTCCTAAGAAAAAATACTTTGAACTCTGGGCAGTTTTAATAGAATGAAAACATACTGGTCCTGGTTTATATATCTGTCTCATAATTAATATTTAATAAAGTAAGATGAGGAGCTAAAACCTTGTGGTTGAATTAAATGTGGAAAGAAGGATCAATTTGTCTTTTTAAGAAATATTTGAAGATTTGAAATGTTTTCATGTGGACATGACACTAGACTTTTTCTGTATGAGTTCAATGGAGGCAGAACCAGTATCAATTGGTATTAGTGCCAGTAGGATTTTTGGTTCAGCATAATGAGTTTCTAATGTTCAGGGCATTTCAAAATTTAGATTAGGCTAATTTAAGAGAAAAGTTATTAGAGAACTACAACAGACCAACAGGAAATAAATGTTTAAAAACTTTACCATTTATACTGGCACAGAAGACATGAATAAATGTAATAAAAGATGTACAGGGTGCCTTCTTGAAAATAACAAAACATCAGTGAGAAATATTAAAGCAGACTTAAGGAAGTGGAGGATATAATTTGTACATGAATTAGAAGACTTGATAGTGTGAGGATGTCATTCCTCACCAAATTTATCTACAGTCAGTAGGAAGCCTAATTAATCTTTTTTTTTTTTTTTAAGCAAGCAGATTCTGTAATTTAAGTGGAAACATAAAGGGGTCGGGAAAGCAGTCTTGAAGAAGACCTACATCACAGACATTAGAATACTTAGTAATTAAAGCTGCAGATTAGGGTAAAGAAGCAGTGCCACAAAATAGAGTCTGAAAATACACTGTCATATTTCTGTTACAGCTGGCACTGCAGTACAGTGGGGGAAAGGGTGTTTTTTTTTTTTTTTAATAAATTGTGATTGGGTAATTAGAAATCCCTGTGACAAAAACATGAATGCTGATCCTGCCTCATACATATGGAAAAAATAAAATCCAGGTATATTGTAGATGTGAGCATAAAAGGTTGGAAAATAGAAGATTCTCTTCACATCTTTGGGGTTAGCAGTAATTTCTTTAGTACATATATGGTGCCTTAGCCATAAAAGAAAATAATCATAGTTTAAACATAATTAAGAATTTCTGTTTTCTGAAAGACACTATGAAGAGAGTAAAAAGGAAGACAGAGCGTGGGAGAAGATCATTATAATTTATATTTCTAACATAAGACTCCTACCCAGAATGTATATAGATAGCAACTATAAAACAGTAAGGAAAAGGCGAGACAGCCCACTGGAACAGTGAGCATAAAGCTTGAAGAAACACTTCAGAAAGAGACTCTGTATATGGACAGAAAATGCAACAAAAGAGTGTCAACTTCAGTAGCCATAAGATGCACTGTGATGTGCTGTCACTATTCACTCACTGTCATGGTTACAATGAGGAAGACAGTGCCAGCCACTGGTGAGGATGTGCAGCAACTGGAACTCACATGAGGTTACTGGATGCATATTGCATAGCTGTTTTGAAGAACTGGCAGGATTTGCCAAAGCTTAATATACAAAAAGGCCATGACCTCAGAGGTTCACTGTTGGATGTGTATGCACTAGAAATACACACATACATCCAAGAAGAGATGTATGAGCAGTATGGAAAAAGTTTATGAAAAAATGCATATTATGAGAAGAATATACAGGGATTTTTAACTATTTTATACCCAAATAAATGTATCTTTCAATTCCACTTTTCACAAATTTTTTGAGGGACTCTTATATACAAGAATACTCCTAAGAGAAAGTGAGCCACAACTACCCACAGCAATGTGTATGTATCTTACAAACATGCTGTTGTGAGAAAGAAGCCAGACACCACTTTGCTTTGAAATACAGTTCAGAACCAAGGTACATGAACTGGTGGTACTGGTCATCAGGAAAGTGGTTACTCTGCTGGAAGCTGTGATGGGACAGCTGTATGCTGTGTGCTGTGTGCTGTCTTTGGGCCTGGGTGTGGTTATGTGGGTGTGTTTGTGAAAATTCAGTGATATTGTGCACTTTCTTACCCTCCAAGGAAACAAAGCTTGCTTTAAAACAAACACCCGTGGAGATCCCCAAGCCTAAACTAGGCAGCACTTTGGCAAGGATTTGGGATGGAATTCAGGGTTCCCTGGAGTTGAGCTTTGTGTGAAGTAAACAGCGAGCAGTGCCTTTCTGAGCTGGAGTGGTTTCATTAAGTACTTCGCAGAAAGGTTTCTGTTCTGCAGGATCATAGGGAGATAATTATTGACAAGCTCTAAGTCAGGAGTTCAAGCACAAAAATCATTTGCCAGAGAGTGGTTATTTTAGGAACACAGCAGTTAAGCAAGTTTGGATTCAGATCTGACACATAAGCAGAATAGTCCATAGGTTTAATTTTGATCTGTACAAATAAAGAACGACAAAGAGCATTTGCTTTTCTACTATTTTACCTTTATTTAATAATTTCATATCTCCTTTCATAGAAAATCGCATTAGCTATTTGAAAAGCCAATATGATTAGTAAATAAAAACAAAGAATGAACAAGGCTGAGACAAAAGGAGAGAACACATACAGTAAGCTCAAGGTAAATAGTTGAGTATGCAGCTTGCTGTTACTGTTAGGACATCCCAAGCAGAAAGGGAAACACATGCACTTTTCTTATTTGAGGCATTAAAGAAGCAACATTACAGAAACATAATGAAGCATGTCTTTAACGACAGGTGCTGTAGTAATGTGTGAGTTGAATTTATAGGTGGTTTCTTATAGTGACTTTCAGAATACCAGAGAGTAAAATTGTTCAGTGAGTTTAATGTGAAAGGAATCATCGTGTTACCCCTGTTTTCACCCCTAATCTCACAGTCGGGGGCAGGACCTGGGGGATGCATGGAATTTGGGGCTCTTGTGTAGCTTTGCTAAGAGTAATTTCTCACGTTTCACCTGAGCAGGTGCCCGGGAAGACCCTACCATACAGCAGGCACAACGGCGCTCCGCTGTCTTTCTGTCCTTCAAGTCCCCGATTCCGTGTCTGCCCTTGCGCTGGGAGCAGCAGAGTAAGCTTCTTCCAACAGTCGCCGGAATCCCTGCCAGCAAAGTTTCCAAATGGAGCACAGATGAGGTACATTTCATTTCCCCTGTCAGGCTCCACATACAGGAGCCTGGCTTACAGAGTGGTAGACACACGAGTGGATGGAGGGTTGTTTGTGTTTTGAAACTGTAGCTGTTAGAGTCTGCCTTTTTTTTTTTAATTAGGAATTTTGGTATCTTTGACAGGTGTCAGAATTCATACAGAGCTTACCTGGGTGTGAAGAACACGGAAAGGTATTTAAAGATGAAGTAAGTGTTCCGCTAAATCACAGTATGTTCCTTCATGGCGTCAACGCATGGAAACACATTGAATGGTGGAATGTGTTGAACTGGCAGAGTGAGGAAGAGATGAGTTATGTTGAATCTGACAGATGGGTACATAGTTGTCTTAAAAGGCAGCATTAAGCAGTTGTGTAAAAATATCTTTTTTTAGGATGAGATGCAATGGAATTTTGTGACCGTGCCATTGTATAATGTCTCCTGGTAGAGGCACCAGTAAAAAATCCACAGAACGGAAGAGCTTGTATTTACACTGTTAGTTTCAAGCATGAAGAGAAATCAAAGAAAGAAACAATATTTAATTTTTTAATAAAGTGTAGTTTCCATTATTTTATTTTCAGACATCATTCTTAAAACACCAAGGCTTAACTCTATTTGATATGCAATAATAAACAATATTACCACTGTTGCTAAAAATGATCACTTATATATTTCTTTAGTGATGTTTAGAATAACAAATATTTATCATAGTCTGCTTTTGGGACATAATTTTATTAGTTTAACTATCTCTCCAAAACTTCAAAGTCAAGACTGATTAATAACGGTATCATTTACCCTGAGCATTAGAATAAAAAGGAATTTGGTTTCTAACAGCACACAGCACTGGAAGTAATACTGTTAGAGTACCACAGGAAAGCCTCTATGCTAGAGACCTTTAAAAATAAGCCACTTGCTTGTCATCTCTTCCAAGCATGGAAGTCAATTATCCCTTGGATTTTGGCTCTGGGTAATGCTTCCAGAAGGCAGAAAGTCGACGAAGTAATCTCAGAAGGCTTTTTCCAACATCTGCTGTCTACAGTAAGATGCATATACACTTTTCTGCCCCATGTGTAAACCTCCACTGTTAAGAATAACAGTGTCAATTCAAAGCATTGCCAGAGTGTAGGGACAGCTAGAATCCCAGCCACTGATCTCACTATAGTAGTACATACAGTGTATGCTTTACATGGTTACCTGTTAAAAAGCACAAGGATCGGATTTCCAGCATCCTTTGGCTGGTTTATATTCTTTCTGTGGTTACCATCCATTGACAGTTACTCAGTTTTGAGCATCTTTCTCTAACTCATAAGGCCTAAGAATCTTTGTACACCTTTCATTTAATTTTCTATCCTGGAACAGACTTAGGTCCACATGAGGAACTATTTCTCTTTTTCAGAATGAGTCAGGTAGTCCTGAGCCTTGAAGATGAGGGAGCATTTTCAGCATCAATTTGTAGTACATCTACTTTATAAATTATATTTTTGACCATCGGTACATAAATTATCCATATAGGTTTTCTCTACTAGTTAGTGTAATATTCAAGTTAATATTCACAGTGATGTGGTATTTCTTAGAATAAATGTTTCTTCACAGCATATTGTCTTCAGGGAAACTCCCCAGGTCCCAGAAATCCTGAACATCAGATCTTTGGAAGAGCAGGGCAGATAATACTCTCTGTTGATGTCTATTATTGATTCATGTGTTCATTTGCTCCTTTATTCATTTGTTAAATTTCTACTGTGTGTATTTTACACTGTGTAATGCTGTTGTAGAAACAATGATTCAAAATAATAAAACAGAGTTCTTGTTTTCAAAAGTCTCACAAGGTCAAGGAACATTGTTTAAGTTCTAGAAAACAACCATAATTCAAATCTAAAGCCTTATAAGTTATCTCTAAAAGGTGAAGTACAGGGATTAGGATAGGTGTTTTTGGAAATCGTCTTTGACTTCTTTGTTACCCAGGCCACATCTAATCTCTATCATACTAGGTGTACATAAACACACAGGGCAGGGGGCCAGTGCTGTGGCGTAGCAGGTAAAATTACCACCTGCCATGCCAGCATCCCATACAGGCTCCAGTTCTAGTCTCGGATGCTCCACTTCTGATCCAGCTCTCTGCTGTAGCCTGGGAAAGCAGTAAAAGATGTTCTAAGTCCTTGGGCCCCTATGCCTGTGTGGGGGACCCAGAAAAAATTCCTGGCTTCATATCGGCTCAACTCCAACCATTGTGGCCATTTGGGGAATGAACCAGTGGATGGAAGCCCTCTCTTTCTCTCTCTGTCTCTCCCTGTAACTCTGCTTTTCAAATAAAATAAAATGAATATTAAAAAAAATATATATATAGGGCAGGCTTTGTTGCAGTGGTTAAGGTACCACTTGGGATGCCCACATTCTGTATTAGAATGCCTGGGTTCAAGTCTCAGCTCTGCTTCCTAGTCTGACTTCCTGGAGGCAGAAGAGGGTGACTCATGTACAGCCCTGCCTAGCTCCGACCATTGTAGGAATTTGGACAGTGACTCAACAGTTAGGAGATCTCTTGGTCTGTTTGTCTCTCTGTCTTTCTGCCTTGTTTTCAAAAGTTTATGTTTTCAAAAGATAGATGATAGACAGATGATTAAAAATACAAGCACACCCCATATGAACACCAGTCCCAGTCCCAGCTGCTCTGCTTTTGGTCCAGCTCCCTGCCAATGGCCTGAGAAAGCAGCAAAGGATAGTCCAAATGCTTGGGCCCCTGCACCCATGTGGAAGACTTGGAGGAACCTCTAGGTACCTGTCTTTTGCCTGGACAAGTCCTGGCTGTTGTGGCCATTTGGGAAGTGAACTAGCAGGTGGAAGACCTCTCTGTCTCTCCTCCCTCTCTCTCTATTTCAAATAAATAAATCTTTAAAAACTAAAAAAAAAAAAAAAAAGGCATATAAAGTTCCTGACTGCTCTTACCACTACTCACCTTGACTTGAGCCACCATTGCCTCTCACTTGGATTCATGCAGTGATCTCCTGACTAAGCCCTGTGCTTCTGTTTTTGCTCCTCTACAATCTATTCCCAGCACAGCTAGGGTGTTCCTGCTACATATTCTTCCCATAGCTCCATATCCCAAGCAGAGCAAAAGTGTTCAATCTGATACCTCGTTACCTCTCTTGCCTCTTTTTTTTTCTTTTTAAGATTTTATTTATTTATTTGAGAGGTAAAGTTACAGACAGAGAGAGGGAGAGACATAGAGAAGGATCTTCCATCCACTGGTTCACTCCCCAAATGGCCATAATGGCTGGAGCTGGGCTGATCCAAAGGCAGGAGCTTTTTCCAGGTGGGTTCAGGGGCCCAAGCACTTGGGCCATCTTGCACTGGTTTCTCAGGCCATCAGCAGAGAACTGGATTGGAAGAGGAACAGCCAGGACAAGAATCGTCCGGCGCCGCAGGCGAAGGCTTAGCCTACCACGTCACAGCGCCTGCCGCCACCTCTTGCACTTCGACCTCTTTCTTCAAGCTGCTCCTAGCAGTTTCACCCCCTGGCTGCCTTGCTGTTCCCCAGCTTATCCAAGACTGGTCTGGCTAGCTCCTCTGCCTAGACTGCCCTTCCTCCTGATGGTCGCATGACTCCATCCCTCTGCTCAGATTCCAAGTTCCAGTTAGCCCTGCCTTGACCATCCTACTTGGAATTGCTGTCTTACCACCACAAGTGCTGTGTCCCTACCCCACTGCCTCTTCACCTCCTTCACCAGCTCTGTTTCACTGCCTAGTCACCTTCTAACCACTTGGCTTATTTATGATGTTTATCACTTACAGTCTGTGTCCCGCTACTAGAACGTAAGCTCCACAGAGACTTGTTTGCATGCTCGTGTTTATCTGTTTTGTTCTCTGTGGTATGTCCAGGCCCGAGAAGAGAGTTTGGAACATGGAAGATGCTCAGTGTGTTTTTGCCGAATGAATGTATTCACACCTTTACAGTATACTCAAAGATCATGTCCCTGTGATTTAGAGTGAAAGCACTGGAAAAGACCTGAGAGCCTGTGATAGAGGGCAGTAAAGTGGAAGGCAGGAGCCCTGCACTCCAAATCCTTCTTCCTAGTTTCGAGCGTTTAGTGGGACCTTTAATTTCTGGAGGTTGACTAGTGTGTACGCGGTGCAAAAGTAAGCTGCCTCGTAGCGCATTGCAGTAACCACTGTTGTTCTTAGGATGCTTTTTCTTTTTTTAAGATTTATTTATTTCTTTGAAAGAGGTGCCAGGGTGGAGGGGGAAGAAAGAGATCTTCCATCTGCTGGATCACTCCCCAGATGACCACAGTGGCCAGGGCTGGGCTGGGCTGGAGCCAGGAGCTTCATCTAAATCTCTCCTGTGGGTGCAGGGGTCCAAGTACTTGGACCATCTTCTGTGGCTTTAGCAGGTGCATCAGCAGGGAGCTGAGTTGGAAGTTGAACAGTGAGGATATGAACTGGTGCCCATATCAGATGCCAGCATCAACATGGGATGCTGGCATCTAGGCAGTGGCTTACCTCGCTACGCCATGAAACAGGCCCCAGGATGCACTTAAATTGTTTTCTTCCTTCCAATCAAGACTTGTCCATATGCCCACATAGCAGAGAAGCATGTACAAAATACACTTGACTTTGGTGCTAGCCTCCTGATGTTTTTTCTATTATTCTTATGAATCATAATCTACCAAAACGAATCCTTCTCAACTCACTCTTCACATCTCAGCCTCTTGGTTCTCTCGTTTCTTTTCTTCAGTCCTCTGTCATGTTAGCGTAGACTCACAAGGGGATTACAAGCTTCAGTAGCTCCAAGGCTATGACACGTTGGTGTCTGGAGTGAGCTCCTCGGGGACCTGTGTGTTAGTTGACATTTTCCTGAATGACCTGCAGGTCCTCAGTCTGTCTCCTCTACTGTGTCTGCCCTGGCTTAGTAACTGATCCACCTGCCTTTCTGCCTGGCCTTGCTTTGTTAGAGCAACGTAAGCACAGAGCACCGGCATAAGTATTTCCACACAGCAGCAGAACCTTTCCCACATTGGCACTTCCTCATCCCACCCTTGCAGATGAACATTGGGAAATCTTTCCTTCTAGTTTATGGCAGCAGGAAGTTTTCTTACTAAAATTAGCCAACTTTTTTCACATAATTGTTACTTGAAGTTGTAGAAGATGACTACAGTTCTTCCTGATTAAGTATGTACACAATTTAAATTTACAGGTTTGTTTTTTTTTTTTTAATTTTTGGAGGTGGCAGAATCTTAAGGAACAGCTACTTAATTCTGTCTTCCTGTGTTTAATGAACTGTTTGTAGCCTTTAGAGTTGTGTTAGTTTGCCCAAGGCTAACAGAACCAAGGGCCAAGAACCACAAATTTATTATCTCCTGGTTCCAGGGGCTAGAAGTCTGGGGAAGATCAGAAGCCAGGATGTTGGCAAGTTGCTGCCTTCCAAGGGCTGCAAAGAAAAATCTGTCCCAGGCCTTGTCCCTTCATTAGTGGGTGGCATTTTCTGTGTTCCTATCACCTTCCTTCTCTGTGTGTCTGTCTCTGCCTGAAGTCCCCTGTTTGTAAAGGCACCATAGTGATTAGGGGCCCATCCTACCTTAGTCTGACCGCCACTTCACTGATTACAGGTGCAACTGCTCTGCTTTCAAATAAGACCATCGTCTGGGGTGCTGGGCTTAGGATGCCAGCACAGGAATTTAGAGGGGGCACAGTTCAGTGCGTAGCACAGTTCATTGCTGTCAATGTTTCTAGTGGACTCTAAAGAAAACATGAATGTGGGTTTTTTTTTTTTTTTCAAATTAAGAAATCTGAAGGAGAAATGAATTTTTTAACATGGTAGAACTTTCTAAGGGCTGAAAGTCATACAAAAGACTGTTACTTTGTTCTGCTCATTAAACCAGAGGTCATCTTCATAGTTTGTGCCTTTGAACCTTAAAGTACTCCATTCTGCAGGAGCACAGAATTTTTGTCTTAGTAAAGGGCCACAGAGAGGAAGGGTGTGAGTTACCTAAGCAGCAGAAGCAAGCATCAGGACGATGAGACGATGACTGAGTGCCAGTCTCCCGTTCTGTCTGCACTGATTGCTCTCGTTAGTTACTGCCTTTCTTTGTTATGTGAAGACTGGTATGGCCATACTAGAAATGCAAGAGGGCTTCAAAAAGTTCATAAAAAATACACGTTATCTTTTACTTTTTTTGCATGGAATTTTTAAAGCTGTATTAGCATACAGCTGCTACATGTGCCTGAATTTGTATATGTCCCCAGTATTTTGTCTTCTCTAATTTAAAACCTGTCACACAAACTCGATTTGAGGTATCCCAAATTTTTCCATATTCTGTCTGCCTCAGCACCTAATTGGGAGTTTCCTAACGAATGAGTTCTACTTTGCTCCCAGCCCACATTTTTGGTATTGTTATAGATTAGGAAGGTCTGAATACTAGGAAATGTTACACACATGAACGCCTGTGTTTGCCCTTTTCAGTATTGCCAGGTAGACGACAGCCAGCTAGTCACTTAACCTTGACTATTTCCCACAACACTCCCTCCAGTTAATGCATGATCTTTTGCTTTTCCCCTGTTCTAGCAAATCGATGGAGAAGCGTTTCTACTTATGACCCAGACGGACATTGTGAAAATTATGAGTATTAAGCTGGGCCCTGCTCTCAAAATTTTCAATTCTATCCTGATGTTCAAAGCTGCAGAGAAGAATTCTCACAACGAACTTTGAAGATGGTGAATTCTGAATGCCATCAGCTTTCTGAGTTAGAGCTCATGTTTTATTCAAAGCACAAGGACGGTTATAACTCCTAAGTGAGAAGTCTCCAAAACTCAAAAGAGCAACACTATCGGATTATTTATATTCCTCAAGAGACAATGTATATGAATTCTTATGAAAGTGCTTGAGCTTTTAACCAGGTACTGTCTAAAAACAGTCATCTTTTGGTTCTGTTCACTGAGCTAAATTTATCTTTGTAAATCTTTTTGAGGCCAGGGAGGGTGGGGGACAGGGGAACTTCATTAATTATTTATGGCTAAGGGGGGGCAGAATAAGAAATTTTGGCATTTTGTAAACATTGTTGAATTCTCTTTCATGTACACTGTTTCTTTTTCAATACTTTCAGAAGCCTTTTTATATAATCAAATATCAACTTAAACCAAATTAGTCAAATCCTGGCTAATCTTAGCCAGTGGGACTGTTACCTGTATTGTTCCTTTTGTGCCATATTTTGAACTGCAGCATTATGCTAAGGTTAACTTTGCAAGTCATGATATTGCTTAACTGCTTGTCATAATATTTGTCGGGGCTGAATAGTTGTAAAAATTACTTTTCTTTGAATCAGTGTTTTTACTTTTGCACGCATTATGAAATGTTAAACAAAGTACTTTTCACCAGCATCTTTACTATAATTACCAAAAACATGTATATAAAAGAATGGAATTGAGAAATAAAATATATAAACATAATCAATTAGGTAGTGTATTTGAGTGGCATCAGTCTCATACGCACGGTGCCCCCTGTGTTTATGAGAATCAGATGGTATCGGAGGAGGATGCAGGGGCATTTGGGGGGATGTATGTAAGGCTCTTGAACGATGTATGTGATTATCTTGAGTTTGTCTGATTGTCATTGAAGTAACTAGCGTGTTTTACAGAAATGAAAGCCTCATTCTGTCACAGAAACATTACTCCATAATGAGCTCCTTCTCAGATCTTTGTAGCATCCTGTAAGTCCAAAGGCTTTCTTCAGAGTTGGCTGAAGAGAAAGTGTATAGATTTTACTGAAAAAAGCAAGGTGTGAGGGAGCAACACCGTGAACACAAAATGCTAAAGGCTCACAGCCCAGGGAGGTGATTTCCCAAAGCAATTATTCAAGAACCTCCATGATGGAAGGATTCCTTTTTCTGTAGAACACTTTTCCTTGATGTATGTGAGCAAACAAATGCACTTTAAATGAAACCCTTGACTATCTATCAACTAATAGCTGGTAGTGTTTCTTTTGCAAGAATGCATTTCTAAAGCAAAAGATAAATTATTTTGTCAGTCTTTGGATGTACTTTCTAATTCCAGGATTAGACATTTATTCAAGGACAATTTTAAAAATAGTAAAGTAAGTTTGTAGCATGCTGTCTGAATTCTGGAGAGGTCCCACCTCTCCTTCCTTAGCTCTCGGTTTTCCCGATGCTGGACTTCCCTGAGTGTCGCTGTTGGAGGTCTGTTAACAGCCCTTTGCATTTGTCATGATTCCAGGTTGTAAAACAGGGTCAGTGACATCTGCAGTGCCCATTCATTTCTTTGCATGAATCTACTTAGAGAAGTTTTTCATTGTTGCTTTTTTCCTTTTTTAATATTTTGTTGAGAATTTGTACATTCGAGTTGCACTTGTTATATCTGATATGAATGAAATAAAATCTGAATTGCAGATGCTCTTTTTACATATGTATGATTTCTCAGAGAGCTTGTTGAATAGGAGAGCCAGAACAAAAGCAGGAACATCAAGCATACAGGCTTTAGAGAACTGGTAAAGAGACTGTAGGATTCCAGATTATTCAACACTGTCCCAAGGTGATGCAAGGTGATGAGTGACACATTGAAAAATCATATTCTTAGGTCAAGTAGGATTCATCCCCATTGGGAATTTTTTCTTTGTCGTATAAAGCAAATATTGTAACAAAAAGGACTTTGAAATCTTAGTTGAAATATTCACTCACTCTAAGCAACGTGGGATCTGTCAGAGGCAAGGCATTAAGCTTCCTTCAGGTGGCAAAGGGTTTAGAGTATCTCAAGAAGGGGAACCTTTGTCCCTGCTCTATCAGGGACAAGTCCAAGCCGAAGAGTCAGGGAGCCAAGATGGCAGGGAGAGCCTGAAATGAGAGAAAGCAAAAGGGGAGGGTGGGAAATGCTGGCCTCTGTCTGCAGATAGGTCCCACAGGCTTCCTTCTTTTGGAGGTTAGCAGGGGCAGGCTGACACCCTATTTGCTGGTTCACTCTACAAATGCCCAGGAGCCAAGAACTCAATCAAGTCTGCAGAAACCCAATTACTTGGCACTACCACTGCCTCACAGGATTTGCATTAATAGGAAGCTGGAGTGAGGAACCAGAGCCCAAGCCAGGTATCAAGCCCAGGTACTCCAGTGTGGGATGTGGGCATCTTAATTAGTGCCTTAATCACTAGGATAAGCAAACCCCAGACCCAAGGATTCCAGTTTAAACTTGTAGAGTGGATTCAGCCCTCAAAGAAAATACAGAATAGGCAATAAGGAATATTTATCAAGGGACAGGCCCATGCTGTGTACTGGGAATAGAGGAACCATTAAAAGACAATAAAACGGGCCTAGGCTAATCCTCTGCTTGCGGCGCCGGCACACCGGGTTCTAGTCCCAGTCGGGGTGCCGGATTCTTTCCCAGTTGCCCCTCTTCCAGGCCAGCTCTCTGCTGTGGCCGGGAGTGCAGTGGAGGATGGCCCAAGTCCTTGGGCCCTCCACCCGCATGGGAGACCAGGAGAAGCACCTGGCTCCTGCTTCAGATCAGCGCAGTGCGCTGGCTGCAGCAGCCATTGCGGGGTGAACCAACGGTAAAGGAAGACCTTTCTCTCTGTCTCTCTCTCTCACTGTCCACTCTGCCTGTCAAAAATAAAAATAAATCTAAAAAAAAAAAGACAATAAAACAGACAGGATTCTGTTCTCAAGGTCAGCTCCTGTCTTGTTTGTTGACAAACTTCACTGCAGTTTCCCTGCAAAGGGAGGCTTCCTTCAACTTCAGCCATAGAGGGTGTGTGCCTTCTACAGAAAGGGACCCCTGAGAGCTCCAGAGCCTCATTTGGGAGAAAAGCTTAGGACACACGGTGAACTAAAGGGAGAGGGGGGAACTCGGGGGAAATAAGGGAAAGTTCTTAAGGAACATGCTAGAGAAAGGGAAGAAATAGAAACTGGGGGGTAGGGACTAGTTTATAGAAAAACAACATAATGTGTTAAAGACACATTAGCATGGGTCTGGGGTTTTCTCCTGGATATAATCAGATGAAATGAAATAAAATTAAGAATGGAAATTTTTGTTTAAAAATAAAAGATGTGTCGAATTGTTATTTCCTCTGTCCACACAGTTAATGAACAGTCATGGTAGAAATGGGTTCCTGATCTTCCCTTTCTCTCTATGTCACTAGCAAGCATTTTTTTATGAACAGTCCTTATATGGAGAATGGAATATAGCAGGCTGACATTATTTCAATGATAAAATATTTTCTAATATTTCTAGAGATGTATATTATAAAATATTTCTTTAATAATTGTATAAATCTTTCTTCAGCTTTTTTTAAAAGATTTTATTTATTTATTTGAGAGGTAGAGTTACAGAGAAAGGCAGAGGCAGACAGACAGAGAAGACTTCCATGCACTGGTTTGTAACCCAGAAGGCTACAATGGCCAGAGCTGAGTATCTGAAGTCAGGAGCCAGGAGCTTCTTGCAGGGACTCATGTACTTGGGCCGTCTTTCACTGCTTACCCAGGCCATAGCAGAGAGCCAGATTGGAAGAGCAGCTTCCAGGACAGGAACCAGTGCCCATATGGGATTCCAGCACCACAGGTGGAGGCTTAACCCACTATGCCACAGTGCTGGCCCCTCGGCAGCTTTTTTTAAAAAACTGAATTTGATGAAGTAACCTAGGAAATGCTTATTCTATTGTAACGCAGATATTAATACCCTTAGGTTTCTTTTCAGTCCCCAAATGAACTTGTTCTATCTTTTAGAACTAATAAGTAATATTGATAATAGCACCAGGGGGTACCTTAAAACTGTATTTTGTAGTTTTTCTGTATGAAATACTTGGAAAAGTGTGACAGTGCACTAGTCTTGTTAGACCCCAAAGGACTTGTGCAGCCATTGGTAGGGCCAGAACAAAATTATAACATGGGCCTCTGGGAATTAGCCAGTGGGCTTCCGGGAAAAGGCAGTATGTTTCAAGGGAGGGAGGCACATGAACCAGGTCACAGAGAGCAGAACTCATGCCAACAAGACCAGCAAGGAAGAGACGTGAGGCATGCATTCACCTTTGTTCTCAACATGTGATGGAAGGAAACCAAAGCCAGGAGGTCATCTGGGGGAAAAAGTAACTGGGGAATACGTGTTCCTTCTTAAAATGGTCAAGTTCACAGTGTTTCTAAACAACATCCAAATCAAAGAGGCAGGCACAGACCACAGTGTGCAGCCTCTGGGCGTGAAGTCTCTCAAGAGTAGGCACACTGAGTGAAGTGCAAGGTCATATGTCAAGCCAAAGGATTTGAGTAAATCTGAAGTGTTGTGTCTTTTAAAAACTAATACACCCTTGGAAGTATAATTTTGATCATGAAATTTCTAAGAACACATATCACAAAGAGTTCTTTCAGTAATATTTTATGAGAATTTCACAGACTTAAGTATCTAAAGATAAAAGGTATTGAAATTCATTAGCATCTTTGATACAGGATGATTTTCTAATATCTATCTCTACCACAGCACTAAATCAAGACAGTTGGTTACAAAGTTTCATGTGTCCCAGAAGCAAATTCTGATACAGTATGTAGCATACTATTAAGTGGGTATTGAAATCCTACTTCCTTTTCCTTTTCTTTCAAAGAAGGAAAATGGGGGCTGTGGACATCAAAAATCAGTGTCTCTAGGAAGTTTAGGGTTTGGGACAGTCTTCTTGGACACTCGATCCCAAATACATAAAAGGCAGCCACAAGAACAGCCACGGCTGTGACACAGTCGTCTACCTTTGTGAGCCTCTCTTTGTCTAAATATAAAGAAATTTCACAAGCGTTGATGTTGAAAGGATTTTTAACTTCCAGCACAGGCGTGGACACTTGTACCTGAAAAAAAGAATGGAGTCACTACTGTATGATACATAAAATAGCTAAATAATACGACATCCCCAAACTTAACTGTGGTGTTAGAGTAAATGAACTGGTTGCAATTGAGCATATTTATGAAGATGATAAAACATACTTCAAAACAGACCACTGTCTGCTTTTCCAACAAATTACCCTAGGGAGATGTAAAATGCCAAGCAGTGGTCATTAACACACTACATACCTTCTCATTGACACTGACAAAGAGACTGGGGTCATCCCCAAAAACATTTGGGAGGAGTAAACACGTGGCCATCATCTTCATATCTGTTGAGGCAAAGATGTTTAGAGGCCAAGGAAAATAAGTTTTGAGCAGCTGTAGGCAGAGCTAGTACTAGAACATCTGGATTTGTAAAATGATTACTTTCCACAGAAAACAAGCTAGCCTTCTCAAATCAGTGTTCCAAGACCTCGTTAAACCAACATCCTCTTCTAATAAACCATTTGACATCTCCTGTCTGCCATCCAGATCACTGCCAGGAGAATAATTCTGTACTCTGTCCATTGCCAGGATGATTTTATCATGCTTCACCCTATGTTTTATGTCGTAAACTTGACAGGTTACTAGCTCCCCAAAGATAATTTTAACAGTGTTGAGTATACTTTATAAATCTCTCTCTGCTCCTTCTCGAAAAAAATCTTTTCTTTCACAGTGGTTGTTTCATTGAACTTCACTCACTACTAAAGTGGAGCTTTTCTAAGTATTCTGAATTATACAGATAACTTAGACCTGTTCACCCCAACCCCAAGGTTTACTAACATTTCAGCATGTCTTCATCTGTGCACTGCTTTATTTTTTCTTGGAATGCAATGCTGATTGGATGGTCCACCACTGAAAGAGAAGTCAGTATGTTTTCTGAATAGGATTCCAAAATGTGCCTTGTTTTCTTGTAAATATCTGTTCTTGTAAGAAGTTGGATTTCTCTGAACATCTGATAAAACAAAAAAATCAATGGATATATCAGATCACAAGTAATTGTAAGAAATAGAATGAAGGAAGTAAATAACTCTGGAATTATCTAATCTTCAAATGTTAGTTTAAAATACATACTAAGTATTTTTTAGAAACCTTAAAGGCAAAACAAAGACTTGGCATGGGAAGAAAGAATAGAAGTCTAAAGTGAGCAGGAAAAGATAACAACTGGACATTGCAAAATTCTAAATCTATAGATGGAAAACTTTGGGTGCAGAATCAACTAAATGAAGTGTCCAAAGTATACATGCATGCATTGACGATGTGGGTCATGTAGCCAAGATCCTAGGATCTTACATTTCTTTAGGGCAACTTCATGGTTATGTTTTGACAGTGTCCAACAATAGAGCAAAAAAAAAAAAAATTCTATTAGATTTTAGGAAGCAACCCCTGAAAGGTACCTCAGCATAGTATCTTCCAAGTATCTTACCATAGTATCTTACCATGCTTCAGAGATGGTAAATTCAGATGAAAGCAAACAGTGGGAAAGCAATATAGGTGCTGGAGATTTGACTGGAAGCTTAAAGAGAAACCTCTACAGAACCTCCTTTACCCAAAAGCACCTGCTCCTTCCCCTGCCTAATTCTACCACACAGAGAGCCCCATCACCACTGCTCCTCCCCCACTTTCTGTCAGAGTGGTAGTATCAGCTTCTTAACCACCCACATCAGTCTGAATTAATTTAATCATCACTGGGCCCTAAAACTTCAGGTGAAGGGTCACAAACTATTCATTGGGCCTCAGCATTCCTTGAGTATTTTGCTAGATCGTTAATTGCCCCAAGGTTAGGTCTGAAAGCTGCGTTGTCAGAAAGCTCGAATCCCATTCTCAAAAAGACATCGTGACTGATCAGGCAGCCCTAGAGGCTACTCATCTAGATTAACATCCTTAGAAAGTGCTTCTCTCAGCACTGAGACATGATCAAGGTGAACTGAAGGTTCACACCACTTTCCTTGGCCCTCAGCCCATGAAACGTTTTTAGCTATTTATTTTGAAATGACCTCTAGTTTACAGTTAAGTTGCAGAAATGTAAAGGAGAGCTCATGGAATGCCCTTCACTCAACTTTCCCCAGTTTCTTATTTTAAAAATTATTATTAATTTATTTGAGAGTGCACTCTTGGTTCACTCCACTCCACAAATGTCTGCAAGGGCCCAGGTCAAAGCGGGGACTCAGGACCTTAATCCAAGCCTCCCACATGGGTCACAGGAACACAGTCACTGGAGCCATCCCCACTGCTTTCCAGAGTCTGCATGGACAGGAAGCTTGAATCAGGAGGCAGAGCCAGGTATCAAAACCTAGGTACCCCAATATGAGATGTAGGCACCTTAACCACTAAGCTAAATGCCCACCCCAAATCCCAATTTCTGATCCACTTGAAGATAAGATGCAGACATGATGCCCCTTTATGCCTTAGTTCTTTCTGTGTATTTCCCAAGTACAGGGACATTCAAAATCAGGAAACTCTAATGCAGACCCACTCAGATTTGCCAGTTTTTCCAATCGTGTTCTTTACAAGTCCAGGATCTACATGTAGATAGGAATAAATGTCAAAGGGATCACATAAATAAGACGAAATGTCTGCTAATAACAATAGATAGAATTAAAAAAGAGAGAATGATCCAACATGGGAAGCAGGCCACACAGCAGACTCATAGAATGACAAATGCCATAAACAGCACTCTGACCTCAGAATCAGCCCTTAAGGTATTCAGATCCGGCTGAAAAGCCCATGAGAGTGTTTCAAGCATGGAAAGCCAAGACACTGTGGCAAAAGAATGACTTACATGAAGGATCTCTGTGAATGAGATCCCAGTGGAAAGATCGCAATAACGTGCCTGTCACCTAGTAATCACTCATTTGTTCACAAATGACGCTGTTTTTAAAAGCAAACATGTAATAAACTCTTTTTTTTGGGGGGGGGAAGTATGTAAAATGTTCATTTTCAATTTGGTCAATTGCATCTACAGAATTTTTCCATGAAATGCGGACATGTGTAAAAACTTTGGTGAAGCTTTCCTTATATGCCTACAGCTAAAATCACACTATAGTTGTGATAAGACTCTAGAATGCTCCTCCCTTAATTAAAGTAAATGGAAGAATATTGGAGTTACTCAGTAAAGTTTTATATTTAAGGCCACTTCATAAAATGATTTGTGATGATGAAGAGATTCTAAGTTGGATTCTAGCAGTTCCTTAAAATGATCATGATTGTCTAAAAGCATGTAAAGGAAAATGAGTCACATTGCCAAAATCCCCCTACGTAATGACACCCCACCACCACCAGCAGCAGCAGCCACTACAATACGCCCAGTAACAAGGAACTCTCATGCTGAAGTCAGCCAGTGACTGTTACCCAAATTTGCTTCCTGAAATCCATGCCCACTGGTCCTAAAAACAGCCCCTGGGGCCTCATACCCTACTGAGATTCTCACCCAGTGTCTTGTTACACTGTCCCACTACCACTCCAAGAAGAGAAGGGAAAAATCATTGTGGACCCTGTAATCAGAATATTATAAACAAATAAAGATACCTGATAAGGACACTTCAGGAAAGGAAACATTTTAAGGATGTCCTTCAGAGGTGTTCCGCTTCTGATCATCTTTCTTCTTATTCCCAAGGTCTGGCTCATCCTCTTGTCAATTTCTCTCCAGTCCTTTTCTGTTTTCACGTATTCTTGCTGGAACCAGTTAATATGTTCATCTACTTCAGAATCCGAACTAACAACTTCTTCCTACAAAGTATTTCCAAAATATGTGTCAGTGAATTCCATGTTTCAAGTGGTGGTTTGAGACTTCGTGAAAATTTGAATCACAGGCTGTCATTCTGCACTCAGTAATGCACTACGGTGAGCACCATCATTGTGTAGTGACACTTGGCCTTGAATGTGGTTAACAAAGGAACAGTTTTTAATGAAAACGAATGAGCTAATTACTTACCACTGGAGTTATAATCTCTGCTCTTGATAGACCCGAGAAAGTTACTTTAATTCCTGAATCACCCATGGATATGGAAACCCAGATTATTCAGAAGCTTCACACGTAAAAGGAATGTTTCTGTCAATTCACTTAAAATTTTAGAGAAGAAAATGGTAAGAGATACGATGTTTGTAAATTAAAGGTCTGTTATTGACCTTGTTTGTGTTTTTCCTTTACAGTGCCTTTTTACGGCTGCAGTGCTATGCCATGTAATGCAGATTCCAAATCGTCATCGTCATCAAACTCTCAGTTATGTTCACTACACACTGCGTACATTGGAAGCATCTCACATATTCCTGTAGAAAAGCTAAGACAATCATCTCTGAGCAAACAAGCAAGAAAACTATTTCTAGAAAAATTAGTTGAGCAGACACCTGGCTGAACTGCACTTGAGTGAAGGTGGACCCACTGCTAGCTGGCCAGGACATAAACAGATGTTACCTGTAAAACACAAAAACACGAAGGAGTCTAAAATGCTCTAACATTCCCGGTTTTTACAAATGCACTGGGAAAATTTCAAGTAGATCTACTTTCTGTGAATGCCAGATGACTAGTGAGACATATATTAGTGGAAAATTTATTAGAAAAATATAATTCACCAGATTACAACCAAATTCCTATTTAATTGGAAGATAAAAGTCTTTCTACAACAAATATATCAAGACCTAAGTGTTTTTTTTTTAAGACCCAAGTGTTTTATTAGACACATTTTACTTAACTTTCAAAACAGTTTTCCAAACTTATGCAAATTATTTCAGGGAATCAAAAGTTAAAATACTCTGCAACCTATTTTTTTTTTTATTTGACAGGTAGAGTTATAGAGTGAGAGAGAGAGACAGAGAGAAAGGTCTTCCTTCTGTTGGTTCACTCCCCAAATGGCCGCTACGGCGATCTGAAGCCAGGAGCCAGGTGCTTCTCCTGGTCTCCCACGGGGGTGCAGGACCCAGGCACTTGGGCCATCCTCCACTGCCTTCCCGGGCCACAGCAGAGAGCTGGACTGGAAGAGGAGCAACCGGGACTAGAACCCGGTGCCGCAAGGCAAAGGATTAACCAAGTGAGCCATAGCGCCGGCCCCTCTCCAACCTATTTTATAAGGTCTGTATGACCCTGATCCTCAAACCAGAGATCAGTATGAGGGGTCCCCTCATTCAGAAACAAAGTCATACAAACCAGGAACCAGGAACACCCGTTCTAGCTTATCCCAAACATGCAACAATGTTTTCACAGCAGTAAAGGAACTTGAATAAACTAAAGAAAACATGACTGCATTACCCATTATATTTCATATCCTATCACACTGAAATCTCAATTTTAGAGCCACCATTTCTGAATGACTTGGATCATTAAAGAAGGTTTTGAGAAATGTGAGTTCTTGGAATTCTATGATTGACTTGAACTATCTAAATCTGTGTCAACATTGCATCCTGTATTAACCAATTAAAGATGAAAAATATACTCATTTTAAAAGCTGCAGAAAACATTTTATAAAATTCAACATCCCTTTGTAACAAAAGAAAAAACTGTCAAAATAATAAAAAATTTTAAAACGTATAGTTATCTACCAAAAACCTGGAGCTAACATGACTTAGATAGTGGAACTGAACTCCTGAAGTTCTTAGCTACACTCAACAGGAGAAATAGAAGTGCAATATTTGGAAACATAGTAGAAAAATTATTGTTTATTTGTGATGTGATTAAGAGAAAATTCAATATGATGCACATATAATTTATTGTAATTGAATGTTTTTCAGAGCAACTAAATACAACATCAATACATAAAAACATACTAAGAAACAAAATACAAACTTTTACGATTGTGAAAATGTATATGTAAGGTAACTAGGACTAAAACTAACAAAAGATGTGCAAGGCTTTTGTGGATAAAATGAAAAACATATTAGAAAATATTAGTGGCCGGCGCCGCGGCTCACTAGGCTAATCCTCTGCCTTGCGGCGCCGGCACACCGAGTTCTAGTCCCGGTCGGGGCTCCAGATTCTGTCCCAGTTGCCCATCTTCCAGGCCAGCTCTCTGCTGTGGCCCGGGAGTGCAGTGGAGGATGGCCCAAGTGCTTGGGCCCTGCACCCCATGGGAGACCAGGAGAAGCACCTGGCTCCTGCCATCGAATCAGCGCGGTGCGCCGGCCGCGGTGGCCATTGGAGGGTGAACCAACGGCAAAGGAAGACCTTTCTCTCTGTCTCTCTCTCTCACTGTCCACTCTGCCTGTCAAAAAAAAAAAAAAAAAAAAGAGAGAAAGAAATAAAATATTAGTGACCCCTACGTAATGGATAGGTTCATCATCTTCACAGAAAGGCTGTCACAGGAAAGTGGCCTTTCTACAAATCGGTCTACAACTCCACAATATTTGTATCAAAATCCAAAACCTGTCAAAACCCCAAAATGACTTTTTAAGAACATGATAAGCTAATTCTAAAATTCATATGAACTATTTAAAAGCTCAAGAATAACCAATGTATTCTTAAGGAATAATAATAAGACAGTGATGGGAAAGTATCAAGATATTTGATAGCTATATAAGTAGGGAAAGTTGGTCTTCATGCAAGTATAGCCAACTTTACTGTGGAACAACATAGCAGAGCTTGTGGGTGCAGTGACACAAACAACAGACAGCAAGGTGCAGGAAACTGTTACCCAGAGGAGAAAACAAATCCAACATGGCTTAAGAACTTAAAGACAAAACCTTAAAATTTCTTTGAAGGAAACCCAAGAATATTTCTTAATTACTTCATTATAAGAAAGGATTTCCTCAAAGCATTATAAGAGAAATGATTGATTACTCCAACAACATTAAAATCATAAACTTGTCTTTGTCAAAAGACAGCAAAAGGAAATTTAAAAGGCAAGACGCAAACTCAGAGAAGATGTTTATAATAGACACAATTAGTAAAGTGGTAGAATACAGAATATATAAAGGACTCTTAAATAAGAAAAGGGGAAACCTCATAGGAAAAATTGCAAGATAAGAACAGATATTTTACAGAGAAGGAAACATGAATATTTCATGAGCATATAAAAAGTGATGAATTTCATAAATAATAAAGTTGAAAATTAGATAGCATTTAAAATAAGCTACAATTTAACTTTATTTAATATTCATTCATTCATTCATTCATTTGAAAGGCAGAGAGTTACAGACAGGGCCAGGCCAAAACTAGCAGGTCAGAACTCAATCTGGGTCTGCCACTTGACTAACAGGGGACCAAGCACTTGTGCCAACCCTTGCTGCCTCCCAGGACACTGAAATCAGAAGTAAAGAAGTCAGGTCTCAAATCAGGCACTCCATTATGGGATGCCGGAGTCCCAAGTGGCAACTTAACCACTGTGGCAAATGTCCACCCAAGATACCATTTTATTTCCAACAGGTAGGGAGAGAAATGTGATAATAACAAGTGCTACTCAGGGAGCTTAAATGGCTGCAATCATCTAGAAAAACAATTTGGCACTGTGTTGTAAAGTTGAATATTTGCATGCCTCATGAGCCAGCAATTCCACTCCTAAGTGTAAATCCTTGGATAAGGATTGCACATATGCACCGAGGCACACATAGGAATGGTCGCAGCAGCACGGCTCAGGACAGCCAAGCCAGAAACAAATCAAATGTCTGCCGACAGGACGATAGCCAAATAAACTGGCTTTCTGTCAAAAAATTATTAAGTCAGTGGGAAAATGAATGTACTATACAGCTCAATGTAGCAGCCTAGATGAATTCCAGAGACGTTACATTGAGTGAGAAAAAAAGAAGTTGTCGGAGACAACAGATGGTTTCCATATCACTTCGTAAACCTTGAAAGCAAGCAAAACTAAACTATATTCCTTGGGGATTCATGCTTAGGTGACAAATTCATTTATTAAAAAAACAGGTGAATGATAAAAAAATTCAGAGTAGCAAAATTTTTAGAAGCAGTGAGTTTGGGGGGGAAATGGGAGATGGGAAGAAAACAGGTGGATATGATGGTACAGCCACCGTGCCAATTCTAAAACTGGATTTTGGGCTCATACTATTCATTTTGTGTCATAAATTATATGCTATTTATATATATATTCATTTTTATCAAATGCACACAATGACAATTTTTAAAATAAAAAAGCCCTACCTTTTTTAAAAAGTAAAGGAAAATATGTAAAAACAGCTTCCACTACAGAAATAAAATGGAAACTCTAATTTCTGACACTGACATTTACAGACTCTTATATACATGACGCATTGCCCTCCTCAACCCAGAACGGAAGAAGAGTTTGTAGAAGTTCTAGCTGATTGGACCATGGGACATACACAAAGTGGTGGGTTGTAGTCTAGGTTCAGGTAACCTTCTTCAGCAGGAGGTCACACTAGAATCCAATATTTTAAAAAATGTATACTTTGTTACATGTGGTTAAGGATCTACATGTGTTTTGTTAGAGCTAGAAGGAAGCTGGACAGTGATTGGTCCACGCCTCTCACCTTACTCAAAAGCACCATCAGATCCTCCAGAGGAAGGGACTTTACCAAGTGTGGAGATGGCAAGGTGTGGGGGCTCTGTTGGTGCAGCCCCACTTCTCTAGGAGTAAGGATGGCCTTGCTCTGACAGGCTCATTTCCTTCGTCCTGCCTATTGAGATGAGGGGTCGTGTATGAGGACTCTCTCGATCCTGCAGAAGAGCGGGGTCAACTACTTGGTATTTGTCTCAGTGGGCAAAGAGTAGGGGCACGTGGTCAAGAAAGAGTGAATGGAAGACAGAGAGCAGGGATGAGATTACT